GGGGGGGGGTGTCCCTCTAGGGGGGAGGGTCCCCGATCTTCATGGATTTGGGGATGGAGTCGGAACGCTCCGATGTCGCTCGGTCCTCCATGGCGGATGGATTCCTCGGTGGATCACCTCGCCGTGTTCTGTGCGGAGTTCTCGTCCCCTCAGTCCCGGCGCTGCAAGTCCCGGCAGGTCCACATTCCAGGGGCCGGTCGGCTGACGCACGGTAAGGACTCGGCTGCTGAGGAATTTGATGCTTTTAGAGGATTCGGGGAGCTCGGATTCGGACGCGGTGATCTTTGGCCTGACAAGTAACAATAGTCTAACGCTCCGATTGGTGAGGATTGGGCAATATGGGCCCCACAAGGGCCCCACACTTTATCCAATTGTATACAGAAAGATTTCCAGCTCTCGCCCTCTGTACTCCCACGTCGCATTATCGCAACCCTGCACCGAGGCGACGCACTATTCAGTGCGTCATACAACCTACATGACTCACCCCTCCCCGTCAATTCAACCTAAACGTACCAGATTGTACAGTGCAGAGTAACAGCAGCTGCTGTAGCACTATGGGAGGAGACTTCCTCAGGGGGCGGAGACTTCAGGGGGAGGAGAATTCCTCAGAGGAGGAGACTTCTTCAAGGGGAGGAGAATTCCTTGGGGGAGACTTCCTTGTGGGGAGGGGGAAATCTTCAGAGGAGTAGACTTCCTTGAGTTAAGCACACCTCTTCAGGGGAGGAGACTTTCTGGAGGGAGAGAATTCCTCAGGGAGGAGACTTCCTGGGGGGGGGTGAGCACACCTTCTCAGCGGCGGAGACTTTCTGAGGGGAAGAATTCCTCAGGGGAGGAGACTTCCTTGTGGGGAGGGGGTGAGCACACCTCTTCAGCGGAGGAGACTTGCTGAAGGGGAGGAGACTTGCTGAAGGGGAGGAGACTTCCTCAGAGTAGACTCCCTGGGGGGTGAGCACACATCTTTGGGGGAGGAGACTTTCTGAGGTGGAGGAGGATTCCTTGGCAGTGAGCACACATCTTCAGGGGAGGAGACTTTGAGGGGGAGAATTCTTCAGAGGAGGAGACTTCCCTGGGGGTGAGCACACTTCCTCAGGGGAGGAGAACTCCTCAGAGTAGACTCCCTGGGGGGTGAGCACACATCTTTGGGGGAGGAGACTTTCTGAGGGGGAGGAGGATTCCTTGGCGGTGAGCACACATCTTCAGGGGAGGAGACTTTTTAAGGGGGAGGAGGATTCCTTAGAGGAGGAGACTACTTGGGGATGAGCACACCTCCTCAGGGGAGGATACTTTATTGTGGTTGAGCACACATCTTTAGGGGAGGAGACTTTTTAAGGGGGAGGAGACTTTGTGAGGGGGGAGGAGAATTCCTCAGAGGAGACTTCGTTGGGGGGGTGGGAACACATCCTCAGGGGAGGAGACTCTGAATTCCGAGGTTGTTCTGATGTATGATCCCAGGAAAACTCATCTTCAGGAAGCACGTATCCCCTTCCCGGGGCCCGTCTACCCTCCAGAAGACCAGAGCCCATAGTGGCTCCGGGGGCCCCTTCCGTTCTGCCATCACATCCATGCCATGGACACGATTGTGGTAACAAGTTACTATGGAATGGATCCACCAATCAGAGCGCAGGAACTGGGGAGCGGTCATCTCCCATGGGCCCGCCCTCCTCACAATGGGTCCCTATCAGAATCAATCGTTGGGCTCTAGAGGCCCCACAGCACAGAAGGGGGGAGGCCTGAGACGGGAGGAAGCAGTTTTTGGGTTTTTTAAAGCTAAACACACCGAGGAACAGTGTTGTCACCCTGGGACAGGACTACAGAACTCCTCCCCCCTCTTCCCTGACTTGGGAGGAAAAGGTTCTATAGTCCTAACACACCTCCTGTCCTAGGGTGACAACGATCCATCACTGTACTGTATCTATGGAGGAGCTGTGTTGTCACTCTAGCGCAGGACTATGGAACAACCCCCTCCCCCCCAATGTTCCTTACATAGGAGGGAGTGTTCCATAGTCCTAACACTTCCTGTCCTAGGGTGACCGTGCTTTTAAGCCTTTAAGACTTTTCACACATTACAATCTTCCGGCGGGGACACCTGTTGCCTCACTTTGTCATTTCCTGCGGTGTCTCTATAACAGGAAGTGAAGGAAAAGCTTCCCAAAAATGTAACCCTTAATGATGCGGGGAGTGGAGATATGGGGGGGGATGGGATGGGGGGGGGGGTGTAAGCGAAACTCCCCACAGAGATGACATCAGTCCGGCCCGGTATAAATAGACCGCCGCGGACAGAACTCCTGTGCTGAGACAAATCCCCGAGAGGTCAGAGGTCACCACCGGGCCAAAAATGTCCACACAGCACTTCTCATACAGCCAGCGCTCTGCCAATGTGACATCTCCATCCCTCAGTGATCCCTCCTGGTTACACTGTATCATCCTGATCCCTCAGTGATCCCTCCTGGTTACAATGTATCACCCTCAGTGATCCCTCCTGGTTACAATGTATCATCCTCAGTGATCCCTCCTGGTTACACTGTATCATCCTGAACCCTCAGTGATCCCTCCTGGTTACAATGTATCACCCTCAGTGATCCCTCCTGGTTACAATGTATCACCCTCAGTGATCCCTCCTGGTTACAATGTATCACCCTCAGTGATCCCTCCTGGTTACAATGTATCACCCTCAGTGATCCCTCCTGGTTACAATGTATCACCCTCAGTGATCCCTCCTGGTTACAATGTATCACCCTCAGTGATCCCTCCTGGTTACAATGTATCACCCTCAGTGATCCCTCCTGGTTACAATGTATCACCCTCAGTGATCCCTCCTGGTTACAATGTATCACCCTCAGTGATCCCTCCTGGTTACAATGTATCACCCTCAGTGATCCCTCCTGGTTACAATGTATCACCCTCAGTGATCCCTCCTGGTTACAATGTATCACCCTCAGTGATCCCTCCTGGTTACAATGTATCACCCTCAGTGATCCCTCCTGGTTACAATGTATCACCCTCAGTGATCCCTCCTGGTTACAATGTATCACCCTCAGTGATCCCTCCTGGTTACAATGTATCACCCTCAGTGATCCCTCCTGGTTACAATGTATCACCCTCAGTGATCCCTCCTGGTTACAATGTATCACCCTCAGTGATCCCTCCTGGTTACAATGTATCACCCTCAGTGATCCCTCCTGGTTACAATGTATCACCCTCAGTGATCCCTCCTGGTTACAATGTATCATCCTCAGTGATCCCTCCTCTAGTCCCCGCACTATGTGGTTGTCACCTCCAGCACAAATCACACCTAACAATGGCTCTGGCGCTGCACGGATGGAGGATTTGCAGGGAAGACCTCCTCCGGCCGGGCTCCGCTCTCACACACACACACGCACAGATTGGGGGCCCGGGGCCCCGGGAAACTCACCGTGGATGCCGGTCTGGTGCGCCATGTTGTGACAGATCGGGGATCAGGGAGCGGCTCCGGCCGGGGCTGCAGAGAGTGGGCGGGGCCGGATCACAGGAGGGTGGGGTGTTGTACGGAGAGAGCAGCCTCGGGGCTCCCGGAGGAGGCGGTGCCACATCACAGTGTGGGCGGGGCGTTATACGGAGAGCGCAGCCTCAGGGCTCCAAGAGGAGGCGGTGCAACACCACAGGGTGGGCGGGGCGATGCACGGAAAGAGCGGCCTGGAGGCTCACAGAGGTGGTGAAGCCACACCACAGGGTGGGTGGGGCTTAAAAGGGAGGCGGAAGTAGGGACTTAAAGACGGGGGCGGGCTCCTACGCAATGGCGTCACGTGGCATGCTGGGAGGAGCACTGCTGGCAGTGTGCTGAGATTCCGGCGAGGCTCCTCCCCTGGATTAGCTCGGATGCCACAAATATCAAAGTGGAAGCGAGTTTTTATTTTATTTGGTTTTGGAACATGTCCTTAAACCCCCATGACAAGTGTTTGGCCAGATTTACATTCATTTCCTGTCCTAGGAACACAACAGGAAGTGAGAGAAAACCTTTTCATGAGTGCTCACCAAAACATTGCAAGAGTTTTCCCTCACTTCCTGTTAAGTGTGCAAACTGACATTATGCCATCTACGCCCTGGACTGAGCTGCTGGCTCAGAGATTACACCATCATGTAAATCCTGGAGCAGAAGGATGACTGGGGGAGGGGAGACCGAGGAAATGCTTCCTCCGGCCTGCAGCAGTCTGATCACTGGGGGAGGGGAGACTGAGGAAATGCTTCCTCTTGCCTGCAGCAAACTGATGACAACTGCAGAATGACGGCCCTGCAGCCAGTATGTTCCACCATCGCCGTATTGATACGTCTCCAGGACAGGAAGTGATGGAGAAAGTGCTGGCGTTGCTGGACTTGGAGCTGCTCCATCACCCTCCCTCCCTCCCCCCCC